GGAATTTTATTTAGGCCCCTGGATGACAAACCCCAGGCCCCACTCCCCCGAACCCCCAAGCCCGCGAACCCAGAAGCCCAAGCCCTCAACTCCAGACTTAAGCCTAAACCCTAAACCCTAAACCCGAATCCCCGAACTCTAAACCCCTAAACCCTTAAACCCATAAACCCTCAAACCCTAAAAGCCCTAAACCCAAGACTACGATCGTGAAAGTCTGAACTCCAAGAATCGGTGCACTTAGCCTTATGGTCAGGGTTACCCGCTTCTGGGTTTGGGTCTTGCGGTGTTTGGGTTTGGGGCTTTTGGTTTGGGGTTTCAGGGTTTGGGGCACAACAAAGACCCAACAAACCGAACACTCCGCCCTCCCTTCCCCAATGCCCTACACTCAAAAACCGCCCCTTTTTGGCAGTCGCAGCTGTGAGGACGAGTCGGATGATCCCTACTCCTACGGCTACGTGGGAGGACCAGTCTCATCTCCGTCTAGTCGGGTCTCAAAGACTTGATTTTGCAGGGCCGCAGGAGTTCGGGTTATAAGGGATGTGCGAAACTATGATGAAGACAACGGGTTGTGATTATTGCTACTCACTCTGCTTGTCATTGGGAGTACGACGATCCGTATCATTCATATGGGTACTTCTCTAAATTAGGGTCCCTCTTTAGGTCCCCAATCTAGTACGGCACCCTTATCAAAAGGACCCTAAAAGGGACCCGAATCTAGAGAACTACCCATATCTCCCTAAACCCTAAACCCTAAACACTAAACCATCTCTATCTCTCTCGCTCTCTCTCTCTCTCTCTCTCTCTCTCTCTCTCGCTGTAGTACCTGGGCTTCGGGCACAGGTCGGGCTCTGAACCCCAAGCCCCGGCCCATGGCTCCCTCTTTTTGCCCATAGGCTCCTTAGTAGCTCCTTTTTGTGGTTGGTTTAGGATCCTATAAGGTACTCCCAAAAAGGAACTACTAAGGGGCCTATGGGTAATCACCGTGTTGACAATAGCTACGTAATCATAGCGTGGTTTAGGGTCTCGGGTTTAGGGTTTAAGGTTTAGGGCGTATCACAACAATTCTAAGCAGTAACCACAGTGACAGTAACAATAAACAACATTGACATTCGTCTATATCATTTTCTGTTCGTAAAGCCCTCTCCGTTCACCCAACTGCTGATCCAGAAAAAACCGCACTAGCATCAATGACGGGTTAATCCAACTCAGCTTAACATAGGCGCCTTAATCTTTAGAATAGGGTTTTGGGGCATACTCTTACTACAATTATGAAAAAGAACCCCCAAAATAATATGGGTACTTAGTAAGGCCGCTATATAATTCTTGTTGGTGTTCGCATCCAGGGGTTTTAGGGCTGACATTAAGTAGCCTAGGCTTCCAGTAGCGCTGGGCTCCGAGCCTATCTAGGGTTCAGAAAGGGTTAGGGTTTAGGGTTTGGGGTTTAGGGTTTAGGGTTTAGGTAGATTTTTCTTCGAGATCACAGTTGCGAGAAGCCGTGGTGCCGACAACCTAACACGGGATCGCAAAACAGTCCGTACACCCTAAACCTTCCAACGAGGATGCAGGAAAGAACCACTCCAACCCTTTCAGGGCCCTATAAAAACATTCTAAAGCAAGACTGGCCCTAAACCCTAAACCCTAAAGCAAGACTGGCACTCCCACGTCGCATCTAATTTAAAGGGGGCCGGCTGTCAAGGAGAAATGGGGGGTGCTTCGACCCTGGAAGCGGGAGATTGAAGGATCCTACAGGGTTTAGGGTTTCTTTTTGTGGGGTTAGGAATGTGAAAGTTAGGGAGTTAGGTGTTGCTGCACAGTGAGGGAGTTTTGAAGGTAGGCAGTCAGGGATCTTGCAATTAGAGATGTTTGAAGCTAGCGAGCGAGAGCCAACATTAGGGAGGTATCAGGGAAGCATAGGGGAAATCAAGGAACTCTAGGGAGTTTAAGTCAGGCCTTTTAAAGATGCCAAACCGTAAGGGATGTAGAGCGCTCTGCAAATGCTTCGGATACGGAGGTCCGTGGGGGCTACAGATACAGGAGTTTAGGGTTTAGGGCTTCAAGATCTGGGTTGAAGCTAACTACTGCTGATGATATAAATCCTGCATTACCTTAAGGACCCTAAACTATGGGAATTAGGGTATATTCCTTCTTACGGGTAATGCAGGAATTATATCATCAACCGTCGGTCGCTCCTGGGTGGTGTTTGGAAGGGTTCTAACTACCGTAGCTGGGTTTATTCAACCACTTAGCACTTCAAGCTTTAAGACATGACACCCGTACCTGCTATGTGTGCTTTTCAGCAGCAGGGAATGTTGAGTCGAGACGCAGTCTTTGAGGGGTTGAAGACGAGACGGAGTTGTGCTAGGCAACCATGAATGGCAGCAGCGGAACAGTCACTGTGTCGAGGCCAGTACTAGCAACCAGTGCTCGAGGAGAAACAGCAACCCTAAACCCCAGTCTAAAATCTTGCGAGCACAGGGGATGCTTGCTGTAAGTCGTAGTTGGACCTTCGATGGCGTACCATAGAGGCTTCGACATTTAATAGTTGAATATTATTCCCTTACCGCAGTAAAGTCATAGTATAAACATGACCCAACATAAGGCTCCTATGGTACGAACATGTAAGAACGGCAATTTCAACTCCGATCGCTTCCAGGTGAGTTGCACTCCGCGGAAATGCCGTCAAGAAGTTAAATGACCTCGGCTTCTTCGGCGATTCGGGGCTGAGAATCCTAGTTGAAGCTAAGGTAGGATGATACCCTAACCCCCTAATCCCCTAAACCATAGAAGCCCAAAAAAAGCTAAAGGCTACTTCCTCAGCCCATGAGGCTTCTAGGGTGCGTCAGGGTCTCGGGCATCGGGTCTTGGGTTCAAGGGCTTTACAGGGTTTGGGCCGTGAGGCTTTGCAGTCCAGACCTGAAGAAACAATGGCAAAGCCTGCAGAATCTACGGCCTTTATGTGAGGACCTATAATTCTGATAAAGCGGTGCATTGCCCTTCACTGCGTCCCTGAGTATGCGAACAGCTCGGTTTCAAGACGTTTCAAGCAACAAGACCACTCAAAGCACAGCATTGGGGATTTAAGCAATAAGCCCTACACCCTACTTTAACACTCTACTACTGAGTACCCAGACCCTTGGGAACCCTTTCCGGAAACCCCTTAAAGGGAAGCCTGGGCGTAATCCATAAAGGAACCCTAAACCCTTATAGGAACCCTTTAAAGGAACCCTAACCCCTTATAGGAACCCCTTAAAGGTTAAAGGAACCTGGAAAGGGCTGAGCCACCAGCTTTCTTGCACTTACGCCTTGGCATCCTCCTTGGCCATGTGCCTTCGGGCTCAGCGTTCAGAGCTGTTGAAGGTTAGAGTTTAGGGTTTAGGGTTTAGGGTTCAGGCGACCGATAGTATAGGGGCCTTAGAACTTAGACGGGGGGGGTAGTGCACCACACCCACAGGCTCCGCTGGTATTTAGGATCCTACTTTAAGGTAACTACTAAGGAGCCTATGGGTAGTTACAAGGCTAAAAAGGGGTCACGGGGCTGTCACTAGGTTTTCGTTCAGGGTCTTGCAAGCGCTCTATTAGCGGCTCTATGAGGGCGAATGCTGAACGCATCAAGAGATCAAGAGGAGACTGGAGTGTATGGGGTTTGTAATCACGGTTTAGGGTTTAGGGTTTAGGGTCATTGAACTCTGGGATTTGCACGACACTTTTGCTTTTGCTTAAGTGTGTTTTTTGGCTTTTCGCGGCTCGGGCACTGGGCTTTTCTTTTTTGGGGGAGGCCGGGCCAATGCGGCTTGCTTACCTGAAACAGGCTTGTTTGAAGGGCATCTAAGTCAGGTGGTAGTCCAGGCTGCAACAGAACTGCTGGCGGCGCATCAACGGGATCATCACGGACCTCAGAGGTGTCACTCGGTTCAGCATGATCTGTGGATGCACGGCCAGCTGCTGCACCCTCATGGTTCGCGAAGCCACTCTCAAGCCCCGGCAAAGGCATTGGATGCCCCATCATGGACATCGTCTGGAAGCGGTAGCACGGCAGCTGCTTCTCTCGCTGGAGCACCTTGCACTGGGAGAACCAAGGCAGGTCTTTGTACTCGTCAACAGGCTGGAGGCCGAGGAACCACGAGTTCAGGAGGCCGTGGCTGGCATGGTTGTCGTAGGCCTCGCAAATCGGCGGCGAGGACGATGCCACGCCCAGCCTGACGAGTTATAGCACCCCAGATGTTCGCATCCATCGTGGGCCCATTGAGGACAACCGCATCAGGGGGCGACGGCATCCACAGCAACGCCGACTCTTGGTTGCCCGCTTCCGTCAGAATTCGGCGGACCCCCTCTTCACGAGAGGGGGCTCTGAACCAAGCGCGACTGCAGCGATGGCAGATCATCAAGCCAATGACAATCAGCCGGGCAAGCATCATCGAAAGATCTGAAGCTAGATTTCACGAAGCCCTACACCCGACCTTGCAGCCCAAACCCCCCAAACTAGCCATGAGGCTTTGACCACATGCCTGCAAAGTCTCCTGTACCCCTGGTCAACAGACAGTACTCAGCAAACTTGACACCCTGAATGCCTAAACCCCCCCAAAACCCGGAACCTCCAAAACACCAAAGCCCGAAACCCCAAACCCTAAACCCTAAGGTTCATAAGGGATCTAAAAGGGATCTATAAGGGATCCATAAGGGATCCATAAAGGCCCGAAACCCCCTGTGCTTGCCAGGTGCTGGCAACGCTTAGGCGCCGGAGTACAAAGTCCCTTTCTTCAGGGGCTGACTAAGGATCCCCTCTATCACTCCTGGTTTCCGTAGCAAGGAGGGGCCTTATTTAGGGTTTAGGGTTTAGGGTTTAGGGTTTAGGGTTCAGTTGAGGGTTTAGGGTTTAGGGTTTAGGGTTCAGTTTAGGGTTTAGGGTTTAGGGTTCATGTACTTAGCAAGAGAAACGAAGGTACAGTTTCGCATCTTACTTGGCCACACGAAGATACCTACACCGTCGGGGCAGCCTTCCTATGGCGACCTCGATACGGCTTGGAGAGGCCCGCGGCTGTCAGGCAGTGGTCGCTATCACTGCTGGCAGTGTCTACAGAGGCCGTGCATGTCAGCTGCATGGCCATCTCCGCAACGTGGATTGTGCATAATTGTGAGTCCCTTCAGCTGCAGCTCATTGTGACGTTAGTGGTGACGACTGCTGTCAGTGATCGGTGGTTCCTGCCACGTGGGTTTTGGAACCGATTGATGCATGCGCTTTTTGGCAATACTGCAGGGCGTGCTGCACCCAACTCTGCGCCTGTCTTTGACCCCTGGCAGTCCTACCTTGACCGTACAAAGTCTCAGAGTGCTAAGCCCGTGACTGCTGCTGCTATTCGCCCCCCCTCTAAAGGCAAGAAGAGGGCGAAGTCAAATACATCAGTGCCTGCCAAGCCGGTCGTAACTGCAAGAGTGCCTTGGCACTCTTTGTGCCTCGTGTCTGAGTTTAAGGACGGTGACAGTGCACTCGCTCAACTCACCAGGCCTGTTCAGAATGCATGTGGAGTTGTTTTCTGTGAGCTTGATGACATGGAGGAGACCCTTAAACTCACTTCTGAGCATGCCTTTGCTGCCCTGCTTCCTCCCAAGCCTGAGCGTTTCAAAATCCCTCCTGGCTTCAAGGGCACGCAGGCTAACCTCGTTGTGATCGCCCGGCAAGGGGGAGAGGATATCCTGAAAACTTGTGTCTGCTTCCAGCTTGGTGCACGCCCCGAAGTTCTCGGTGTCCGCACAGCTGAGGTTGCGCTGCCTGCTGCAAAAACTGTTGAGTTTCAAGCCTCTCTTGCATGTGAGCCGGAATGTGCTGACATGCATAAAGCTCTCTCAAATCATGATGCCGTGCAGGCTTGGACGGAGCTTCTGTCCAAGCACTTTGATGCTCAGCCCACAGAGCTGTACAATGTGTTTCGCCCCAAGGACCCTGCAACGCCTGCTGCTGTCAAATTCCGAGTCTCTGCTGACAAGGCCGATGCTCTCGAGGCCAAAAGTGGCATCTCTGGTATCATTGTCAGGCGTTGGTTGGTTAAAGGCACTAAGCCGCCTATCACACCGCTTGTATGGCTTCGTGGACCGTCGAGTGTCAGCTGTGCTATGGCTCTTGCCCAGGCCTCCAGGTGTGAAGGTTTCCTCGGACTGGTTCGCAAGGATGGCAAGTATGCTGCCCGATTTGATGCCTTGCACCTGAAGAAAGCAAGACAGGCCTTGGACCCCACGCGCTATCAGGATGACAACATTGGCTTGGTGCCCACTGCATCTTGGATTGTTTCAGGGTTCCCCCCAGGCACGGACCGCGAGCAGGTACATTCGTTGCTGCGGGAGTGGGGCTGGACGGTTATTCCTGGTCAGCCTAACCGTAGTGCCTGGACTGCGCATGCTGCCTGTCCTCCGCCAGCTGCGCGCTGCTATGCCAGTTGCGGTCCCCTGTTAATTAAGCCAGTGAGTGGTGCGGCCCAGCTCCCTAGCACAACTGCTCAGGCCGGTATTGCAGTTGCAGCGCCCATGGATGTCGAACCGTCACCGGTTGTGGCATCGCCACTGCCGCTGTGCTTGCGCGAGGAGCTTGACAAGCATGTGTCGGCGATCCGGCAATCGCTCTCCAACGAGGTCGCTGAGGTCAGTTCCAGGCTTGACGAGGCCCGACGTGAGTGGTCTGATTCTTGTCAGGACCTTGGTGACCGAGTGAATGCACTGAAGCAAAGTCAGGCTGAGGTCACGTCCCAACTCGGTGACTTGAGTGCTGAGCTGTCAGGTCTTGATATTACTGCCGCCGTCACATCTGCGCTTGCGAGCTCTTTACCTGCTGCGCTGCAGAGCGCGCTGCCCAGTGTTCTTGCTCCTAGCTCCGCAGCTGGGACCTCCTACCTGCAGTTGAGCCCGCCGCGCAAGAAGTCCAAGGATGATGAGCTTTGAAATGTTTGTGCACGGGTGATGCTTTGGTCGCTCGTGCACGTGATCCATGCCATTCACTCATGTGTTAGCGTGGCGAGCAGCGTTTGGCTGCTCACTCTTGTGCCTGTGCTGTGTCTGCGTGCCCAAGGCCTTTGCATTTTCCGCGTGTTGCAGGCCTTCCTACTTTTCTTTGACCGTGCTTGGCGGTCCAGCCTTGCCTTTCTTTCTGCACAGCTCGCTCTGTGCTGCATCTGTTGTGCCCTCCCTCGGCCGTTTCTGCTTCATGCCACCTGCTTGGATGCCCACCTTCCTGCCTTGTGTGGTGGTGCTTCGCAGCAGGCTCACCCTGGTGCATCGAGAGGTGGGTCATCCTCGGACAGCGTCTCCCGCATGCCATTGCCCAACCTTGGCAACACATGTTGGCTCGCTGTTGCGCTACGTGTGTGTCTTCACGCTGATTGGGGCTTCCCTATCCCTCATTCTGATTGGCATGCGTTTGTCGCTGACATGACAAATCTTGGTTTTCACGATGGCACTCAACGCGATCCTTTTGGACTTCTTGGGGCTCTGTGTGTTGCTCATCCTGAATGGGCTGAGCCTCGCATGTGGGCTTTTCAACGCCTTGCCACTTGCACCGGTTGTGGCTCTGCACGCCCGCTTCCGGTTGACACTTGCCTTACTCCGACGTTGCGCGTCCCGTCCGAGCCTTCTTCACTTGACAAGCTGCTCCTTGACTTTGGTTCTTCGCACGAGCAAGATCTCGACTGCAGCGCATGTGGTCGGACGCCGCATTGTCTTCGTGCAGGCGCGTCCATTGATGCCTTGGATTCTTTGGTCTTGTGCCTTCGTCGTGCGACTCCGCATGGACGCAAGAGCCGTGTCTCTGTTCAGGTGCCGCTGTGGCTTGACTTTGCTGGTCAGTGCTATTCCTTGCGGCTCGCTGTTCTGCACCTTGGCAGTCGTGCTGATTCCGGTCACTATGTTGCCTTGGAGCCTTGCTACGGTGTCGGCTCTTCGTCGTCAGTCGTGCACTGGACTCTCTTTGATGATGCTGTGGTGCGAAATGTTTCCGTTCCCAGGTCTGGTGCTGCACGCCTTGGGTCCCCGGCTTGGGACTTGTCTCGCGACGCCGTCTGTATGGTGTACCGTCGCTCGGCGCCTCGCCTTGATCCTGTGCCGCCCGCCTTAACCACTGTTGATGGTGGGGTGGCTGCTGCGCCCCAGCTCCACCTCGTCAATGCTAACATTACCTCGTGGTTTAGTGGTTGGCCGCAACTTGCCAGGGATCTTGAGACTTCTCTCTTTCGCCCCAGTTCTGCTGCCGAGGCTTTGGCGCCGCCTTCTCTGTGGTTTTTGCAAGAAACTCACCTGAGCCCGTCTGCGGTTCGGTCGTGCGCTGCCGGCCTGTCCAAGCTTCACCTGCACAGTGTTTTTCGGTGCGGCCCCGCCAGCAAGGCTGTTAACACGCCTCACGAGTCCGGTGTTGCTGTTGTGGCTACCGTGCCACTCAGGCTTGCTTCTTTCAAGAACCCGCTCCTCTGTCAGTTGCAGGCCGATGGTCGGCTTCTGCATGCTGTCTGTGCTTTGCGAGGCTCTGATCCTTTGCATGCCGTTGTGTTTTACGGCTACCCGGGTGGCACGCAGCGTTTTGACATCCGTGACCGGACTGAGCAAGCAATTGCTGCCATCGCTGAGGAGTGCATTGCATGGGGTAACGTTCCGGTTGTTCTTGCTGGTGACTTCAACTTTCCCGTGGATGACTCTCACACTTTGGCTCAACTTCAGTTGCGTGGGTGGCATGACGCCGCTTGGACTTCTGCGCGTTCCGCTGGTGCCACCCCGCCTCCCACGTGTTTCGCCCAGGCAAAAAAAGGTGCTGGTACGCGGGTGGATGCGCTCTTTCTCAACCCGCGTCTCGCTTCTGCCCTGTGTGACGTCAGCTACCCGGCGTCTGGCCTTCCTGTCCACAAGCCTATAGTTGCTTCCTTGCAGGTTGCTGTTGCCGTTGGTTACGTTGTGAAGCATCCGACGCCCGTCCGTCAGGACTCTGCCTCGTCTGCTACTTGGGCTCCTCCCAGCGACGCTGCTTGTGATGCACATGTGCAAAAGCTTTGGGGTGAAGTTGCGCCTGCTTGGCAACGGGCTCGCAATACGGGTGATGTCGTGTCCCTGTGGCCTCTGCATACCCGTGTGGCTGACCTTCACTACCGTTGGTATGCTGGCATTGCTTCCTCTCCTCGTGCGCCTTGCCGTGGCCTGCCTGGTCGTCCGAAAAGGGTGCGCATGGCCCCGCCTCGTCTTCGGGACTGTGGTACTTCTCCTGCCACCGCGGTCAAGAATGCTGCTCGCCAGCGTTTTCTCCGGTCCCTGGAGCATGCTGCCAGGCTTCGGCTTCGGGTCGCCGATGCTTCCTCGTCTGTTGATGCTGAGAGGGAGCTGCGTGCTCTGTGGCAGCATCTTTGTCAGCGTGCCGCGAAGTATGTCCCAGGTGAGTTGTGGACCAGCTGGTTTGCCGCCCAGGCTCCTCTGCCTGAGTACCAGAGCCTCTGTCTTGCGGTCGATTTTGTTTCTTCTGCTGTGACCCGGCAGCATGAGGCTGAGACCCGCTGTCGCCTTTCCTCATGGCGTGAGACCTGTCGGGCCCGGTGGCGAGATCCCAAGCAGAAGCGTCACATCTTCTCTTGGGTTCGTGACTGTCGCGCTCCTCCTCTTGTCTCGGTCAAGCTCCCTAGCTCTGGCTCTGTGTCTTTTGAGGCCACTGATGTTGAGCGTGTGTTGTGGTCCAAGTGGCAGCCTGTCTTCTGCCCCGGTGAGGGGGAGGCGCCTAGCGTGGACTTTGATGCTTTTTGGCGCCGGTTTCGTCAATATGCTGTCTCTGCGCCGGTTGCCCTGCCGAGGATTACTGCCGCCCACCTCCGCGATGCCATCCGCTCCATGTCCGACTCCTCGTCTGGTGGTGCTGATGGTTGGACTGTCAGTGAGCTCAAAAGCTGGCCTGACTTCCTTCTGCAGAAGCTTGCTGACCTTCTTAATGACGTTGAAGACTCGGGAGGGCGCTGGCCTCCTGATTTGCTTCTTCAGGTTGTTGCTCTGGTCCCCAAGGATTCTACTGAGGAAGACCAGCGGCCCATCACAGTTGCTACTTTGGTCTACCGGGCCTGGGCATCGGTGCGGGCACGTCAGCTGAGTGAGTGGGCTGAGACTTGGGCGGCTCCTACGCAGTTCGGTTATCGACGGGGCAAACGCTCTGTTGATCCTGCTTGGTTGTCGGCGGCTGCGGCTGAGCAGGCGTGGATCAAGCAGAGTCATCGCATGGGTTTCTCGCTGGACCTTGCCAAGGCGTATGACTCGATCCCGCACCAGGTTCTCTACAACCTCCTTGTCCACAGTGGGTTGCCTGTGAGCTTTTGTGATACTTGGCTTGGCGCTATCCGGGGCGCTCGCAAGTTTCTAAAAACAGCTCATGGCCTTGGGCGGGAGTTCAGTGTGAACCGCGGCCTTCCTCAAGGTGATGCTCTTGCGTGCATCGGCATGAACCTCCTCATGTCGGTGTGGTCCCGTGCGGTCGCTTCTGAAACTGCTGTCTCGGTGCGCAGCTACGCTGACGATGCCACGCTGGAAGCTGAAGGTGGCCGTCCTGTTCCGGTCTCTCGTGAGCTGCGGCAGGGCATTTGCGTCACCGAAGAGTTCATGAGCCTCACTGGTCAGCAACCAAACGTGCTCAAGAGTTTCGGGTGGGCCACTACACGCACTGGTCGCTTGCAGATCAAAGCGTTGCAGCTTCAAGGCCAACCTCTCCCTCTCAAGGCTGCTAGCAAGGATCTTGGTTGCCAGGTCGTGTTTCATGGTCCTCGCCGCACACAGATCCAGTGTGAGCGTTTCTCAAAGGCTCGTAAAGCTGCGAAGCGCGCCCGCTGCGCTCCTCTTCCCCTCCTGCAGAAGGCTCAGTTGGTCTGTGGTGCTGCTTCCAGCCTTGCCAACTACGGCCTGGAGACTTGTTTTGTTGGTGAGCGACCTTTGCAAGAGCTCAAGCAATCCATCGTCTGTGCCATTTGGGGCCCCAAGCGGCGCATTCGGTCGGCTGACGCTGTCCTGTTGCTCTTCACGCAGGCCCACCTTACTGACCCTTTTCAAGCACGTTTCTGCCAGAGCTTCTGTACCCTTCAGCGGTGTTTGCTTGCCGATGATGCTTGTCGGCGTGCATGGCCCTCTTGGTGGCGGACTGCCTCTGCCCGTGCAGCTAACCCGCGTGGCCCTGTGTCGCTTCTGTGGTCGCTCGTGTCTGAGTTTCAGTGGACTTGGCCTTCCCCTTTCACACTCCGCACTGCCACTGCCGACTTAAACCTCCTCACTCTTGAGCCGTCTGCGCTGGCTCATGAGCTTCGGGAGGCCGCCCGGCTCTGGGCTTGGCGCCGTGCCTTTCGTCTGCACAAGCGTTTTGACGGTGTTCAGCACAGTGGTGTTGACCGTGCTGCTACAATGCACCTGCATGCGTCCCTGTCTGACCTTGAGCGTGGGTTTTTGCGTGGTATCCTTGCTGATGCTCAGTGGACCAGCTCTCGTGCTTTCAATGCCGGGGAGGCTCTGACCTCTGCGTGTCCCTCTTGTGGTGCCGTCAAGCAGGACACTTTGCACTACTTCTGGGCCTGTCCTGACTTGCGCGCGCTGCAGGCTCAGCACGGCGAGCTTCTCTCCCTTAAGGACACCCCCTTGCCTTGGCCGTCCTGCCTGACCCTGTGTGGCCTCGTCCCTGCAGACTTTGCTGCTGGGCCTTCTGAGCGCAAACACCTTGCCACTTTGACGCAGCGCTACCTGCTTGACGTCTGCCACTTTCGTGCTGGTGAAAGCGCGGGCGTCCCTGACGCGCCTGAGTCGCAGGCCTCTCCTCCTGAGGCTGCTGGACCCGGTGCACTTCCACAGTCTCCTGGGGCTGCTCCGGTGGCTGTGGTTTCTGAGGCGACTGTTGTCCTGCCTGACCCGTCTGTGCAGTGCTCTGCGGCTGCTAAGCGCAGCGTGTTTCCTTGGCCTGCGGCTTTTCGTAATGACCTTGTCACTTACCTGCGCACTCTTTGCTGGCCTTCTGCGCGCTCGGGATCGCCGAATGGTGCTGGGATCACATGGGCCGAAATCGCTGTGAACTTTGAGGCTGTCGTCGGAAAGTCTCTTCCGCGCACTGTTACTCGTCAGGGCAACTCGCGCCCATACGGCGCTCCTTCGGGGGATCTGCTCCGCGACCAAGCGGATTTGTTCCAGAAAATCAAGACCATGTCCAACGCATGCCGGAGCCTTGCGCGATGCCTTGGTACACCTGTCGTTGCTGGCGTGCAGACCCGGCAGAAGATTCCGCATCTAGCAGGCAAGCAGGTTTTCTGGGGCCTCAGCCTTCGTCCGCTCATGCAGTGTGAAGCGGAGACGCACCGAAGGTTGAAGGATTGCTTTGATGGGCGGGTTGGCAGTGCTGTTCAGAGCTCTATTCAGGAGATCAGTGCTCTTGAGGCCTCTCCGGGCCAGCAGCCTCTCGCGCTTGCCTTTTCTCGTGTGACTCCTCTCAAGTGGAAGCCTCCTGCCTCTAAGGTTTCTGCTTTGATGCCTGGCTCTGTTGAGCAAACTGCTGCTCGGCACACTCTGTACAAGCAGGGCTCGAGGTGGCACTGTCGTACCTGTGTCTGCACGGCTGGCGTTCAGCAAAAAGCGACTTTTGATGCTGCGCCTTGCCACGGTGACCTCGCCCATGCGTTTAAGTCTGTCGGACCCCGCTCCAGGCAGCACACGTGTGCTCACTGCGGCTTGACAGCTGCCACTCAAGCTGACCTTGTTCGGTTGCAGGCTAGTCCTTGCCCTAAGCTTAGTGGGTCTCCCCCCCCTAAACCTGACTCTGGGCGTGCTGGCTCCAGCTCCGCCTCCGCTAGGCCTGCTGTTAGTAAGCCCCCACTTGAACCTGAGAAGCACCAGCCGGTGCAGAGTGGTACAGGGTGGAAGTGCGCCAACTGCCCCCTCAGTTGCCCTACGAAGCAAGCGCTTCGCCAGTTTCAGAAGGCCAGGTGTTTAGGTGACCGTGCGCACTCTTATGTGCAGCAGCTCGGCTCTACTACCTCTTGGACCTGTAGCAAGTGTGGTGATGTTGTTGCTTCTGCCAAGCAGCT